GCCACCCCCGAGCACTGACCCACGCTGTCCCATGCCCTGCCGGCAGCTGGGCTTAATGTCTGGTTCTTCAAGAACTGGTGATAAACAGAAGCAAACGTACAAACACCCTCTCCCCTGATAATACATCATGATCTAGCCCAGTGGTGCTCAGCTTCTGGCCCTTGAAGCTATGTCATCTTCCCACGGGCCTGGAAATTTGGCGGCAGGGGAGCAGTAGCAGCATAGTTGCTCGCAGAGCCACGGCAATTAATGCTGCCGCTGCTCCTACCCTACCAAGTTTCCAGACATGGGCTGGATGATTTGGCCCCACACATGGGCCCTCTGCAGCCAGATACAGCGCATGGGATCAGGCTGGCATGCTGGGTTGTGACCAGCTCTGAGCTGGATCTGACCTGCAGACCAACACTGTGCCACTCATTTGGCTCCCAGGCCAGAGTGGCTGAGCACTGCCCATTCACCAGTTGTGCAGCGGGCAAAAAAATCCTTCCTAATGCTGGGGAATGTGTGACAATCTTAGTTTCCCCTTCAAAGGGATGATTACCAGCCTTCCTGCTTGTGCAAAGATGCGGCGAGTGTGCACTACAGGCAGAGAACCCAGGAGACAGAAAAGACTCCTAGATATGCTGCTTTTTAAAAACCTCATGATTTTGTATGCCAGCTTCACAATATTTGGAGGCCCGACCCATGACTGCTTGAGCAGCAGGGGTTTCCTTCACACTGTGCTTGCTTGAATAGCGTTGCTTACCCAATAAGCTGAATTTTGTACCTCAGAGGGCGCGTCCCATTTTCAGGGCCCCTGGGAAACCACGCACGGAGGCAAGCCGCCTGGCTCCATGGGTCTTTAACACTAGAGATTCAGTGGCAGAGTTCAACACTTGCAGTCTTGTCATGAGCCAGGAGCAGCCTCCGCCACATCTTATTAAGTCGGCTCTTTCCAGCTCATTCCCCTTTCTTATCTGTTTTCCCATCGGGCATTTGCAGGCAAGGTGCCTTGCGCTGTCAAGGGAAGAGGCAGACAAGCTTTCTCTCTCGAGATTGATGCGAATGCTTCATGTGGCTGGAAAAGCCACATCACAGAAGAAGCTGTCCGAGCTCTGTCACTTCTCTAATTGAATTAGTTTTCACAGCCTCAGCGATTCCCTGTTCCATTGCCTGGGCCCCTTGTGTATCAGCGGGATGAGCTGTTCGTACCGCTCCACCTTGGGGAGGCAAGTGGGGGAGACTTAAAGGATGATGGAGAGCTAGAGTTAAATGGTTCCCTCATACCTACTTTTTTCCACCTTCTTAGCATGACTGTTGTGATTTCAGGCTATCGGAGGCAATTCTGCTGTCCTGCAGCTTCCCTCTGGGTGCTGATACTTTTCTCGGGGCCAGCTGAGTTGCTGCGTGCGGGGAGACGGTGAACACTTGCTTATCCTTCTGTGTTTTGGATACACAGGGCATGTCTACACGTGCTTTTACGTGCGCCTAAACTTAATGCACATTTTTCTAATGTGCATTAAGGTGATTTAGGCACACATCTACATGTGCATGCGCTAAGGGGCATTAATGCAGTGTGTGGACTGACTTGGGACTAAAGTTAGTAGTCCCAAGCCAGTTGACATAGTGTTAATGCGCCTTAACATGTCTATATGTGCATTAAGGCGCTTTAGCTATTCGTGCTTAAATTTGATACCTGCATGGGTGACTGGTGCCTCTTGAGTCTGGGGGGGCACCAGATCACTGACCTGTGGGGGGGGTCCCTAGTGGATGATCACCAACCCGGGCAGGGGCGGGGGGGGTGGGCAGTGGCCGATCACTGAGCCCATCACCAGCGGCGAAACCAGAAGTGCACCTCTGGCGGCACTTCTGGTTTTGCGGCTGGCGTTTTCAAGGGGTGCATGTGTATCTGCATGCACCCGCTACATGTTGTCAATGGATACCTGCTTTTGTAGGTATCAAATTTAGGTGTGGGTAGCTTAAAATCACCATTTTTAAGGCATATTAAGGGCACGCACATGTAGACCCATGCCCTTAATTGCCTTAGAAATGGCTAATGTGCCTTAAATCGGCACGTGTAGATGTGCCCAGTGTTGGGTTTTGTTTCATCCCCTCTCCCCCTTCCTGTTTTCATCCCTTTTTTGTTCAGTAATAACATTCCCTCTCTCTTCCTGGAGATCTGGCTGTAAATTTCCAAAGCCATCCAAGGGGTTGAGATGTTCAAAAATCTCATACTTGAGCCTTCAAAATACACTTTTCCTATACTTAACTGTCCTGTGAAGTTTTGAACCCTCCCGGTCAGTCTTTTATGTCAGGTTGCTCACTGAATGCCGGGTCTGTAGGAGTAGCCCCTTCCTTCTCATTTATCATCTGACAGATAAGTTGAGCTCTTCTTCCTTTGTGAAGAAGTCAGTTTGTTCCTGATGAGAAACCGCTGTGCTGTGTCATTTTGGTGCATGGAGCAAACAGCTCTACATAAAGTGCGTGAGCTAACACGCCAAGTCCATTCCTGACACATTCTAAGCCTAGGCTTTTTTTCTTTTTGGTGAGCATTTAGGAAACAGGCTAATATCTTCCAGGTGTAAAGATGAATGATTTGATTCGCTATAATTGTAAAGGGAACAAGAGAAAGTTGAACATGGAGCATTTACAGCTAAAGGAATTTTAAAGGCGCATTATCTCCGGCAGCTGCGAGACTCGCAGCAGCAAGTAGGGCAACTTTGTGAGCACGGTTGGTTCTCGGTGTCGGGGAAACGCGACGTTGGGCTCTGAAGTCGTCGGCTGTGTGAATCCTGCTTCTGTGTCAGAACGCCCCGAGAGCTCCAAATAAAGTATAATTTTAATTCCTTTCCATCATTTGCAATTAAATCCGTAACAGAGAGAGAGGAGGAGAGAGAAGTGAGAGAGGGAAAGGTTTCCAAAATAGCTTAAGAACTCAGGCAGCAGAGCTCATTACAGCATACACAGTGGCATTGTTTTAAGCTATTCAAGACATTACAAGCCTTTCAGTTCTCAGCAGCCGCTAACAAAGGCCTTTGATTGCAATCCTTCCACTTTCATAGAAGCCATTAAGCCCTAATGTCTAATGTTTTTGTGCTTTTAGGCATTCGTATGTTAGATGGAGATGTAACAGATGTTGTTGAAGCGAAGTCGCTTGGCATCAGACCCGATCACATTGACATTTACAGCGCGAGCTGGGGGCCAGATGATGATGGGAAGACAGTTGATGGACCCGGTCCGTTGGCCAGACAGGCTTTTGAGCATGGCATTAAAAAGGTGTGACTCTTTGAGTGCCTTGGAGACTCTCGGGTTTTGCTTTTTTGTTGGGTTTTTTTTTTTGCCCTTTTGCTCCCTATGAAGTTGAAGTGTGTGTGTGCGTGTGTGTGTGTGAGAGAGAGAGGCGGGGAGGAGGGTAGCTTGGGCAGAATTGAGATTAAAAGCACCCAAAGACTTGAGAGGGGAGAGTGTTGTTATGAGGTGGGAACAAAAATCCTGAAGTCTTGCTGGCATCACAACTTCCCTCATTGCCCTCGCCCGGGGAGCTTTCCTGGAGGAGACTCACGTCTGTTTTCCCCTCGTGTAAGCTGAGCCAGGGTGATGCCATTATCGAGAGCTCGAGCGGGCGTCTAGCTACGGCCACCCAGGCATCTGCCATGTGAATCCCTTTAGTCCTGCCCCCAGCACACACTCACATCTGCAGTTTGGAGGCATTCATATTGCTGGGTTGGGCTGATGTGGCTGGTGGGTAAAAGAGCAGGCGTGCTCTCAGACCCACTCCCCTGCAGCAGGAAGCTCCATTTTTTGATGCCTATCATTGCAGCTGCTCTGGGCATATTCTTCCCATGTTCAGGCTTTCCCCGTGCATGGATCAGTATCAGCATAAATCAGGACAACCCCGTTGCTTCGGGCCAGGAGGATCCCTGAGGAAAGAGGCTGGCCTTAACTTCGCAGCAGGCTCGGGGTCTGTGGCTCCAGTGAGGGAGGTTCATCCCAAGGTCTAATTCCAAATTGTAACTGGAAGCTGGGTTAAGAAATCGAACGCGTTGCAAGGGAGAGAATATTTTATTACTGCTGTTTAATTAGATTTATTTTCCCAGGGGTCGGGGGTAGGATGTCTATCTTCCTGTTGTTGCACTAAGGATGATCCACCCACTCCCTCCCTGCCCCAGCTTATTGTCCCCTCACCCTTGAGTCTTACATGACAGCAGACAACCAGCGCTGCCAGTTTGCGGGTGCAAGGAGATGGAGTACTTCCAAGCCAGGTCATGGGGTTGGCTGGTGTTGGGATTGCTGTTGTGGCATTGTGTCCCTTCTCCCTCTCTTGCCTCCCGTGGGTCAGTGTGCTCCATCTTGGCATTGGGCATCAGACCTGCAGGTTTGTGCAGGGCACCTCAGTGGATACATATGCGAGGCATGAGGGCAAGTTCCTGCCTGACCTCCTGTCCTCTCTGATAGCAATCAGAGCATGCCCTGGAGCATGGGGATGGCTCATCTCTTTACCATAACCCTGGCTAGTGTGACAGCAAGGCCCTCTCATGTAATGGTCTCATTCTTTCTTACCAAGCTGCTAATATTTATCCTCAGTGGCTTTGACAGGTTATTCCTGCCCTGCTTAAAGGAGTGACCTTTGTCTGTCCCAAATTTATTCCCATCTAAATTTGTTGAGTGACCTCTGGCAGGGAGTAGACAGGACCTTCCAGCTGTCTGTCGCTGTCTCCTTTCTCTTTGTACCGACCCTCCCTCCCCAGCCTCGCTACCTGTCTGGAATATTCCTGTTTCCGCTGCATGTCTTTGGAGCCGGCGTGGCCCAAATGCAGTGCATTACCAAAGGTCAGTTAGGTGGTTACTTTACAGTGTCCTTGTACTTCTCTGTTCCCTCTCTGATTGCTGATACAGCCTATCACCTTAGCTGGCTTTTCAGTAGCTTCTCTGCACTGCATGCAGCAGTCAGGTCTTCTCAGCCATGTCTACATCATTTCTGGTAAATGGGTAAAAGGCTGTCTGGGAGTGTAGGGGTTGATGGTTGAGGAGGCCCCTTCTACTCCTATGCCCCTCACTAATTCAAGACCCATTAATATGTGGGAAGAGTTGCAAAGAGTCACAGATCCAGCATAGATGTGTGCCCAGACACCGCCCAGTTCGTTATGATGCATAGCATGGTAGAGACCAAAGGCTCCAGTCAAGATGGGGTCTGTTGGCCTAGCCACTGTATAAAGACACAGTAAAGATTGAGTTCTAGCCCCAGAGACTTTTATAATTAGGAGCAAGTATAACCCTGCAACAAGAGCTGGGAGCAAATGATAAGGGAGTTGCAGGCTATGGCAAGCTTTTGAATTTTTGCTGGACCAAGCCCTGTCTTTTGCTGTGGTGCTTTCTGAAAAGCCAGCTCTGAGTTTTGGAAGAGGCGCTATTGCAGTATGTATGATGCCAGCCTACATAGGGAAAAGACCTTCCTTCGGACATCATGACCCCTTTTCAAGCACAGCTTGGTGCATGACCATGATTCAGTATCTCAGGCTTTGTGCGTGTCCTGGTGCCGTCCCTCGAAGAGGTACAGCCGGTTCAGATTGGACTAGTCAGACTTGTCCTGGCTGTCTGAAATCCTGAAGCCAGCTGTGTGCTTTTGGTGGTCAGCACGGAGTAAAATATGCTCCCTGGGGAACCTTAAATTGCAGATGTCTGTCGAGAACTCCCCTGCAACTTTGAGGGCAAGTCACACCTCTTCCTCCATGCACACTTTGGCATCTCCTCCTCATTTTTCTTTTTGCAACTTAAGAATTATTTCAGGGGATCTTGAGGGGAGGAGGGCGAAGTGTTGAGAAAAAAGTCCTGTTGTGGCATCGGCCCCTCCTTGACAGGGTGTCATTATCGAGTAATGCTGCTTGCTTGCAGATTTAGCTGTGCCAAGCGGGATGAAACATTGCAAACTGCCAGCATCCTCCGCACGCTGTGATTAGTATCATTTTGGGTTTGGGGTTTTTTGTGTTAGCAACAACACACCTGGGATGACCTCCAGCTCAAGACACGGGCATTCAGACCCTGAATTAGAGCGCAAGGAAAGGTGATCTCAGCTGCACTCCCCAAACCCACACGGCAGTCTCCTGCTGATGTACGAACAAAGCGGGGGCAGAATTGCAGGGTGGACGCTCCATCCTTAAATAACCCCATCAGATGAAGCATCTCAGTTGGTGCAGGAGGCCCCACGGGGAAGGATAGCACTACGAGGCAGGACGTCTTGGTCTTGAGAGCTCCAGCTGAACCGCTGGGATCCACAGCAAATTCCAGCATCACTGTGGGCTTCAGTTTCTCCATCTGCGAAATGGGGATGGGAGCTCCCTGGCTTTGCAAAGCTCTTTGAGAGTTTGGGATGGCAAGCGAGGCATAAATGGAAAGTGTGGTTCCCAAAGTCAGAGCTGTCGCACAAAGGGCCCTGAACATACCCTGGACAGCTTGAACATTATCTAAAAATAAGGTGCATGTTGGGGTCATCCCGCTATTTATTTAATTTCCTGTAGGTAGTCTGAGGAGGAATTCATTGAAGGACGAGGGAGTTCACTCAATGTAAATACAGAGAAGCTGGGAACCAGACATCTCTTTAGGTCTTCTTATCCACAGGGACGTGATATAACTAAATAGGCTCCAGCAGCTGATCAGAGCGTCTGGCATTTGGATGGCTGTAGTGTGCAGGAGATCCTCTGGCACTCAGGTTTTCACAGGTGTTGTCCCAATAACCACATCTGCTGCTTTTACTCAAATCACAACCCCTCAGCACGCTAGCCAAGGAGGTCCGATCCTTCCACAAGCGTCTCCCTGCTGTTCCCCACTCTAGCGGAGGGACCTTGCAAAGGGAAAGGCCCAGGCCCAGGCTTCATCTTCCTGGGTTCCCTGTGATTGTCCTTTTGGGAGGCTGGGAAGTGAGGCTGATGCACGAGGAAGGGATTTGTACCTACTACAAATGTTTAATGGTGAGAAGAACTAGGCATCGGGGCCCCCGCATCCCTCCCTTTCCACCTCCACCAGTGTCTTGTGCATCCCTTTCTTCCTCCTCCCTGCAATCCCCTCTCGCCATGCCAGAGGCTGTGTGCACGTGTGTATGCACACATATCCTTCATACCTCCACTACCTTATGCTGGGGTCTGCTCCATGCTCCACCTGACCGTGCTGGGACTGTGTGGCCCTTCGCACCCCCCGTCACCACATGGCTCTGTTTTCTCCTTCATCGCATACCAGGTCCCTTCATTTTCTGCCTTGTGGAAATGGGTTCTCAGTGGGGCCTCATTCCCTCACGAGCCAGGGGTACGCCGTGCCCTCCACTTCTCCATGTCCTCTATTCTTTTTGAAAGGCTCTGAGGATACAGGTCTACCTCTTCATTATGGTCCAGGCGCCATACCATGGCCCCCTATTTTCTCATGCAGCCGGGGGCTATATGTAGGTACCCTCCCTGCCTATTCTTAAGCCTTGTTAACACTTACCACCTTCTGGCACCACGCAGTAGAGCCATTGCTGAAAACCCACTGGAGCATGTCCTGATCTATGCGCCTCAGACGGCTCGGTGGGGCTCCACTGCTGTAGCCTTGTGGCAGGGCAAAAAGCAGCCAAGAAACATGCCGGCTGCTTATCAGCAGGATTGTCTTCTATGTGCCCCTTGTGCCAGCTGCTGGTTGGAGGGAGAAACCTGCTTTCAGCCACAGATCTTCAGTTCTGCTGGCAAACCCAGATCCATCCTTTTTCGCTTTCTTCCTCATCCTTTCCATCTTCTTGACTTCTTCTTCCAATATCTTCAGGCTATAGTGCGAGCAGGGGCACAGTTGAACTGAGGCTGCAGTGCATTTATGGCTACCACCCAGCAGCGGTTTCAGCTTATAGCACAGCTGCCCAGGGGGGTCTCCATGCATCCCTCATTTCACGGCATCGTTGCGTCCAGTTTCTATCAGAATCAATAGCATTTTGCCCACTGATGCCCAGAGCGTTCCTGGAGATACGGGGACTGATGGGATCCAGCGCTCAAAAGTTATCACGTGGCATCCAAACGGAGGGCTGTCACCAAGCTGGAGGCTCAGTCCGGTGACTGGTCAGACAGCTCTTCCAGGGGTGGAGTAGTTTCTCCAACACTGCCTGTCTTTTTGAAAGATTGGCTATAACTCTGCCAGGAGCTCAGTGCTTCAGGCTGAAGTTAAGGCCATGGCCCACGGTGCTTTCTGAAAAGCCAGCTCCTTCCTACATGAGTTTTGGAAGGGGCACTATTGCAGTATGTATGAAGCCAGTCAACATAGGG